AAATATATCCTATATTAAAATCAAATTATTTTATAAGAAACTATATAAGTATATAAGATGTTCCAATAATTTTTTTTTTATTGGCGACATGCCATAATGTCATTATATAATTTTCTATCATGCTTAATAGATCAATATTTTAATAGCACGAGAAAAATAAATATATTTTAAAATAATTTCACATAAAATAGTTTGAAATTGTTGTTTACTTCTGAAATTCTACTTCACTAATATTGTGATTTGTAAGATCAAATTAACTCCGCAATTAATAGAAAAAGTCCAGTAAGTACACTTTTTAAAATGTATGGGAACATCTTGAGGGGAACATTTTAATAGCATGTAGTATTACAATTAAACATTATATGTGAACGTTTTAATATCTAATGAATGGTATTACATAGCTATAATTGATACTATAATTTTATAAGTTTAGGCCAAGCAAAACTAATATTGACACACCATTGACAATTTTGTACTAGATTTTTTTCACTATGCAAATCATCTAAATAGTTGTTCCGCGCAACGCATGAATTTTCACTAATTTATAGATAAAATACAAAAATTGGTGTATATAAATGTCAAATAACTAAATTAGTTTTTGGTTTTGTTTTGTTCTGTAAAGAGAGACATAGCAAAAATAATTTTACTTTTCATATTTATTTATGGCACAATGTTTTCAAAACGAAAGTGCAATCTTTCAAAACGAAATCACAAGTTTCCAACGTGTTTTCAATAGAAAGCGACATGAAAGCGAGCCTTTGGAAGCTTCTGAGAGCATTCAATTCCAAAGCGGGAAGTGGATTTTCAAAGTAACTTCCGTGCTACCTAGTTAATAACTGTGGCATCCGATTAAAGGATTGGTAGGAATATCCGAGATCTTTTAGAGTTATTTTACTCAATAACCAAATTTTTTTAATAATTAAAAAATTAACTAAAAGTAGTTTATGTGGCAAAATCTTGACCATTAGATTTAAAGTTATTGGTTAGGCTTTAGTTTGGTTATTGAACACAATTTTCCATATTTTTTATGGTCAAATAGGTCTCTCATCAAGATCTCATTGTGTCTCATTTGAGAGACTCTTCTTATTCTCTCTCTTCCTTTGTTGGGTTTTAATATTAGATCTCATCGTGTCTCATTTGAGAGACTCTTCTCATTCTCTCTCTTCCTTTTGTTGGGTTTTAATATTATTTTGACATGAGAGACTCCTTCAGAAATCCTCAATGGAGGTGCTCTTACATTGCAAGTGTAAGCCCAAAGTCGTTAACACATTCTAAAGATTAGGTTGAGTAACCGTAAACACACGTGTTACGTCTGTGATAAAAAGAGAATCTGATGAATCTCTTCTGGCAGAATCAACTCAAGACGCCGTTGTAGCTTCATCAGTGGCAAGATCTGGCTCTATCAATAGTCTTCTTCTCTAATACCTCCAGATCCGCTAAGCCCTACAACAAACCACCGTAGCAATCCCTAAAACAGAACAAATCCGGAACTTTCACATAGATCCGCTTTCCTTCATCATCCAAGAGTCTCATCTCCAATCACTCTCACTGTCGGACACTTCTCTCTAGTACTTTTACCATTACGAAGGACCATATTAGCTTATGGAGGAAAGAAGACATCATTAGTCCTAAGCAAGAAGAGATTGGAGCATAAGTTGAGGGATATGGAGCATCACTATCACCACCGGATTGTAGATCTGTAGAAGGGCATCAACTGGAGTACTAGACTCAGCAGGAGAAACATACAAATCAAACTCAGAACACCAATCCGATATGCAGAAGTTGACAAAGATTTATAAGACTAAAAGCATAAACACAAAGAAAAATAAAAATATATACAATCCGAACCAACGATATGGCTTTGGAAGCCCACATTTGCCGGTCAGAATCCGATCGGAGGAACTGGAAAAATCGAGAGCTTTCTTTTTCTTAGAGAGAG